CACCGGGTGGAGCAAGGTCAGCTCACTAGAAGGTCTGCAAGTATAGGTCTCTATCCTCAAGAACGGTCACCGTATCTACAAAGCCCCATGTGAAATTATCGAGAGCATCGAGGTTATATACAGCACAACCGATACAGCCAATAATTAAACCGCATGATTTACGAATCGAATTATGAAGACAGTTATGGTGTGCAAGCCATTATCGTCTGAGTCGGCCAATCTTATTATATTGTCCGTTTTGTTTTAACTCTGTAGAGACGTGTAGGGACAACAGGGCAAATATGGGATGTCATAAAGGTTAGACAACGTCTTATCGACCAATTGAATCGATTATACCAACATCCGTCAGAGGTATAGTACATTGATAAAAACCATATATGGATTCGTCTACAATTTATAACTAACTTCTATCACTACTTGATTCTCATTTTCTCGTGATTATACCTGCTTTTCCTGATCAACTATCATCAATCGTCGATCCCTCGTACCGTTGTTATCGTCATCTTAATTGTTCGTCGCCGTTGTGCGATTTTCTTTATACGTATCGATACTGTTGCAATCCATGATCTAACTAACAAATCAATATTTTTGCCCGCAGATGTGTAAGATATTGAACTGGAACAGTCCGAAGGCAGTACAACTGATGAGATCGACCCTGACAAACCGTCAGTATTATTACACAACCGAGCAGCTGAAACGGCAGCTGGAGAAATTCAATTGAGGTGTTGAGCAAGCTTGATTAAACGAACTGTCTATCGAAAGTCCTGGTGATGTAGCCACTAGCGTTAGCTATCCCAAACAAAGGTGGTTAGCTATCCCAAGCAAGGTGTTGCTATGGAACAACTGTTAGCTAATGCGCCAACAAGTGTAAGCTATTGCAACAAGTGTAAGCGATTGCAACAAGTGTAAGCTATTGCAACACGTGTAAGCTATTGCAACAAGTGAACGCTATTGCAACAAGTGTAAGCATTAGCACAAGTGTAGAGTGTTTGGCAAACAAGTGTAACTATTGCATACAATCGTGGTAATGACTATTGCAACACGGGTGTAAGCTATTGCAACAAGTGTTAGCTATTGCAACATGGTAAGCTATTGCAACGAGTGTAAGTCGATTGGCAAGAAAAAACAGAACGCAAAGAGAAAAAAAAAGAGAAGACAAGTGAACGCTAATTGCAACAAGTGAAGCTATTGCAACAAGTGTAAGCTATTGCAACAAGTGTAAGCGATTGCAACAAGTGTAAGCGATTGCAACAAGTGTAAGCTATTGCAACAAGTGTTGCTATTGCAACAAGTGTAAGCGATTGCAACAAGTGTAAGCGATTGCAACAAGTGTTAGCTATTGCAAGCATCGAAAGCCAAGCAATGACGTCGACTTCCGGAACTCAATACGCACGATTCATTCCACCCTTCCCTGATTTTACAGTTGGAGCAAGATATCACATCGGGACTAAGTCTGTCCAGCTTTGCTGATGAAATCGACGATGCAGCGGCGTCGCAGTCCCCGGACGTGCAGGACAGTCTAGAATTCCTGGCTAGCATAACCCGTGATATGCAGACCACGTATATGGACGCGCTAGAGGCGGACACGGAGACGGCACTCTCGCAAATACCGACACTAGAAACACACACGCAGGACCTACCGGTGGGTGCTCGACCAAGGTCTGACTAGCAATACGACATACTTCGCCTCTTCTCACCCACACGAATTCCTGTATGCTTTTATTGTTATATAATCTGTTGGGTCACTAAGCGTTGATGTAACGCGCCGGGAGCGCTTAAATGGTTCTACGCTCCCACCACATTGCAAGGTCATATTCTATTATAAAGACATTATATATAGTTACAATTGGTTTTTATTTAGTCGGTGGGAAAACCTAGGGAAATTTAACGGGTTACGATCATCATGCGAGCACGAATTACTGTGATACTCGTCGAAAGTTGAATAGAATTTCACAGTCAAATACATACGGACAGAATCCACCCTGGATTGTCAAAAATAGCCTGCTACTCTATATGAATTGTTGCTCTGGTTGAGTGATCATTAACACTTGCGTGTATTTCCTTTATACATAGGCTGCAGTAGACGCAGTGACGGAAAGCATGGAGGATACTGAGGATATAATACAGACCAGTGGCACTGACATCGTCAGTAAGGTAAATCATTTGCTCACCGCGCCTATAAAGGGATTCAGATATTTTGTTCTCCGACTCCCGTAGGAGTCTACTTCTGTGCTACAACGCGAAGAAATCCTTCACCTGGCGAACCGAGCTGTAACGTAGATGTATTTCAGTAAAATTACCTTCCATTACAATTACTCGGGTTAAGAGCTCGGGATTCTTCAAAAAACGTTGTAAACTTTGAACGTTTAGTAATACCTAATTACTGTTTTCATACGCGCGCTCGGTTTTTTTGGGTCCGATTTGCCTACTGCGTGCGACAGCACGCCGATAACATGCGCCGGTAACAACTGAACTTATACCCCGTACAGACTACGAATTTTAGCGCGCGTCTAACGCGCGCTAGTTTAGTACCATATAAAATTCGTAGTCTGTACGGGGTATTAGTGTATATAGTTTTTATATTATGCGTTGTGTTCCAGGGCGTAGAAGACTATGGAACCAGGTTGATTTATTACGGCGACCAGTATGTTGTGCACTTAGAAGATGTTGTATGTATAATACTCGATATTCTTTTTCAATTGTTGTCGATATAACATCATCGAACAAATCAAGAACTTAACATAATGGTGTCTCTCTATATATAGCGTGTGTCTTTACTGAAGCGCGTGTAGAACTTTATTGCATGGATGCTTTCTGACAATCTTTTAGATAAGAAATAAAGTTGGCAAGTGTCGCCCCTTATGGAATGCATTTGAGTCAATCAATACAGTGGCCTGCAAAAGTTTCATCGATCCATTCGTAAGTAATTATATATAATGATATATATAACATATATAATTGACTTCTTTCATTTGTTTGATACTCATAATATTATCGTATATAAATATAATGAAATGATCTTAGAATGCTTGGAACTTAAACATTTGGTATATGTTTGTGTAAGTTTTGAAAAACGCATGCACCGCAGAAATGATCTATTTCCTCTTAAATCACATCATGTGTATGCACCTATTGTGGGCGTGTGTGCGTGCATGCGCGTGCGTGCGTGTGTGTGTGTGTGTGTGTGTGTGTGTGTGTGTGTGTGTTACCTACATCTATACATCTATGTTAACTACATCTACATACATCTATACATCTATGTTAACTACATCTACATACATCTATACATCTATGTTAACTATACACCTACCTACATCTGTGTTAAGATATACCCTCTACCTACATCCGCTACCCACCGCTACCCATATTAACTACATCTACCTTTCATCTATGTTAAGATAGAAGTAATTCGTATAGTTGGTAGATGTGCCGGGGACGCCCTTGATGACCGACTTGAAGGACGACGAGTACATGCTTAGCTACCTTGTGTACGACGACGGCAGCATCGTGCTGCGCATCACGGATGTCCTCAAGTAAGCATTCACCGAGAGAAGGTCAGCTTACTAGAAGGTCTCAGTAGGTCTCACTCAGAAGGTCACCGTATTCTAACTATGTCATCGAGATCGAGGTTACATTAGCGAACGATACAGCCAATAATTAAACCGATGATTACGAATCGAATTATGAAGACAGTTATGGTGTGCAGCCATTATCGTCTGAGTCGGCATCTTATTATTGTCGTGTTTTTTTCTCTCTGTAGAGAGTGTAGGGACAACAGGGCAATATGGGATGTCATAAAGTTAGACAACGTCTACGACCTGAATGATTTACCAGATCCGTCAGAGGTATAGTACATTCGATAAGACCATATGGATTCGCTACATTTATAACTAACTCTACACTACGTGATTCTCATTTCTCGTGATTATATCTTTTTCCTGATCAATATCTCAATTCGTCGATCTCGTAGTTGTTATCGTCATCTTATTTTCGTCGCCGTTGTCGATTTTCTTATACGTATCGATACTGTCTGCAATCATGATCTTACTAACAAATCAAATATTTTGCCCGCAGATGGTAGATATTGATGAACTAGTGAAGGCAGTTACTGATGAGATCGACCTGACAACCGTCAGTATTTTAACACCAGAGCTGAAAGAGCAGCTGGAGAAATTCAATGAGGTGTTGAGCAAGCTTGATACGACTGCCTACGAAATTCTGGTGAGTAGCCACTAGTTAGCTATCCCAACAAGTGTTAGCTATCGCAACAAGTGTTAGCTATGGCAACAACTGTTAGCTATCCCAACAAGTGTAAGCTATTGCAACAAGTGTAAGCTATTGCAACAAGTGTAAGCTATTGCAACAAGTGTAAGCGATTGCAACAAGTGTAAGCGACTTGCCTCCGGAACAAGATGTAAGCGATTGCAACAAGTGTAAGTGATTGCAACAAGTGTAAGCTATTGCAACACGTGTAAGCTATTGCAACACGTGTAAGCTATTGCAACCAAGTGATTTAACGCTATTTGCCAACTAGGGAGTATTGCCAACGAGATGTCAAAGCGAATTGGCAAACACGATGAAAACGCTATTGCAACAAGACGTGAACGCTATTGCACAAGTGTAAAGCATTGCCAACACAAGTGTAAGCGGATTGCAAACCAATGTGATAAGCCGCCAGTTGCACACAGTCCAAACCTGGCGACAGCCGCATCCTCGCCAAACAAGCTGCTTCAGCTCATTGAACAATGTGAACGCCCTCCTGCAACAAAGTTAAAGCGATCTGCAACAAGTGTTGCTATTGCAAGCATTGAAAGCCAAGCAAATGACGATCGGACTTCGAAACTGCAATGTACGCTCAACGATTCATTTCCACCCTTCCCTGATTTTAACAGTTGGAGCCAAGATATCACATCGGGACTAAGTCGCCAGCTTTGCTGATGGAAATCGACGACTGCAGCGGCCGTCCGCAGTCCCCGCGACGTGCAGCAGACAGTCTAAGAATTCCTGCGCTAGCACTAACCGTGATATGCGAGACCACGTCATATGCGACCGCGCTAGAGGCGGACACGGAGACGGCACTCATCACGCCACACATCCTCATCCCGACCCACTCACCCCACACACGCAGGACCCTACCGGTGCGCCCACGTGCTCCACCACGCCATCTGCCACTACGCAATACGACGACATACTTGCCGTCTTTCGTTCTGCCCTACACCACCACTCTCCCTGTATGCTTTTACTCTGTTTATATACATCCATCGCTTGGGTCACTAAGCCGTCTCGAGTTGCTATACGGCGCGGCCACAGCTTTACAATGCGTCCTTATACCGCTCCACCACATTAGCAAGGTCATATTCCTCATTAATAAGACCCGCCAGTCTCTACTCACACTCACTGTCTCTCTATATCTCTATACTCGAGGCTCACTAGAGACAACCTTAGGAAATCTTTAACGGGTTACGATCATGCAATTGCGAGCACGAATTACTCCGCCTCACTCTCAAAGAACTCTCAGAATATCCACAGTCAATACATACGACAGAATCCACCCTGGATTGTCAAAACAATAGGCCTGCTACTCTTATGAATTGTTGCTCGGTTGAGTGATCATTAACACTTACGTGATTTCCTTCTATACATAGGCCCGTGCCAGTAGACGCCACTAGTGGACGAAAGCATGCCGCGCGACGCACTGAGGCCGCCTCATACTCCCTTTCCTCGGCACTGCATCCCTCGTTTCTCCAGGCACTAGTAAAGGTAAATCATTTTGCTCACCGCGCTACACAACGCCGACTCTCACATATTTTGCTTCCTCGACTCTACCCCTCCGTAGTGAGAGTCACTGCCCTGCTACAACGCCGAAAAAATCCCCTTCTGACTGCCGAACCAGCTGCTCAGACGTAAGCCGTCTCAGTCGTACTCCAGCTAAAACTCTATCCCTAATACCTCTCAGATCCCCTCGCGAGCTACACCCTCCCTGCCTCTACTCTTTTCTCCAACTACAATACACCTCGAAATAGTTGACTTTATCTCCAAGAATAATCTCCACCTCACTCCACTACTGTCTGCCTAATTGGTTCTCAATCCGCGTACCCGCGCGCACTCTCTTCAACCTCCGACAGCTCCATAACCTCCCTCTCGTGTACTCACCTCCCTCAAGCCCCGCAGCTACCAACTCGCTCGGCCCCTCAACATGCGCCATACTTCTCTAACGGAGTAACAACTGAACTTACCTCCCGTTGTCAACTCACATCCTATTACTCACCGCCGGCGAGCGCGCGCACGCCTCTACAACCGTCTCTGCCCCCCCAGCTCTCCCCTCACCATAACATTTCATCCGCACGTCCTGGTACCCGGAGTCCTCGCCTCCCCTCTCACATCGCTTACTCATTCTGACTCCCCCCTCTTATTAGCTTATCCTCTTCTCTCTCACTGTCTCTCCTCTATCAATCTGACCGCGTAAGCACCACTACTGGCAACTACCCACGCCTCTCGCGACTTATTTACGCGCCCACCCACGTCATGTTCTCGTCTCCAGGAAGGATGCCTGTCGCCCCAACCCCCCCTCATGTACTATGTTATCTCACTACTTCGATCATTATTCACCCGCCATCTTTTCCACACTAGAACATGCTTTCCTCTCTCACCCTATAACATCATCGAACTAATAAATATAACCATAGATGGGTCTCTCTAACCTCATAGCGGCCCGCTCGATGTCCTCTATACTGAGCGCGGTCCTTATGCATGCGATGCTCGACCCGATCTGTTTTAAGATGAAGAAATAACAGTTGGCAAGTGTCGCCCCCTCGTAGCGGGATGCCATTGAGACAATCAATTACAGTGGCCTGGCAAAGATTTCATTCATCCCATTTCGTAAGGAACTAAGATTATATCATAATGATATTATAACATATATAATGTACTTCTTTCATCTGTTTGATACTCAATATATTATCGCTATATAAATTATAATGAATTGTCTGTAGAATGCTTGGAGATCTTAAACATTTGGTATATCGTTTTGTGTAAAGTTTGGAAAAAACTGCCCATGCCCACGCAGAAATGATCTATTTCCTCTTAAATCACATCATGCAGTGTATGCACCTATCTGTGGCGCCGCTCCTCCATCCAACCCAACCCTTCCCTTTCACTGTCCTCCACCCATCACCCACCCTCTCGCGCGCGAGCTTCGCGTGCCATTGGCGTGCGGTTGGTGTGACTCCCTCCCCCACCCATCCTGTGTGCCTGTGTGTCGACTGTGCGCTGCTGTCGTGTGCCCAACCTTCCCCGCCTTGCTGCTGTCGTCGTGTGCTCTGCTGTGTGTGTGGTATGATCGTACGCCGTCTGCGCGTGCAGTCGCCATTGTGATTTTCGCGTACCGCACTGGGGTCCGTAGTGCGGAGTTGCGTGCGCGTGACCGCGTTTGTACTCGTGTTGTCATGAGCATCGTGTTCGCGTGTGTGCGTGGTGCGTGGCGCTGCGTTTGTATCTCTCTGTATGAGTTGTGTGTTCGCTGTGTGCGTGTGTGCGTGTGTGTGCGTGTGCGTGCGCGTGCGTTTGTATGTGTTGTATAAGTGTGTGTTCGCGTGTGTGTGTGTGCGTGTGCGTGCGCGTGCGTTTGTATGTGTTGTATAAGTGTGTGTTCGCGTGTGCGCGTGTGCGCGTGCGTGCGCGTGCGTTTGTATGTGTTGTATGAGTGTGTGTTCGCGTGTGTGCGTGTGTACGTGTGCGTGCGCGTGCGTTTGTATGTGTTGTATGAGTGTGTGTTCGCGTGTGTGCGTGTGCGTGTGCGTGCGCGTGCGTTTGTATGTGTTGTATGAGTGTGTGGTCTACTCATGCACAAGTTCCTACTAAAATCGGTTCCGCCTCTGCAGCGCAATGCATGGCTTGTAAAAATTTGAGCTGTCGACTCATTAATCAAGCACACACCTCCAATACAATTCGAAAACATTTTAGAAGAGCGCGCATAGATCTCCGTGCAATGTTGAATATTTCTCCCTGCAGAACGCTAGCTGGTTTTGCCTCGGTTGGTGTGCTGTGATGCTCATCCCTACGGTGATCTTTGCGACGAAGCTGGCCAAGTATTACAAGCGCACGCCGGTGTTCGACGACCGGGAGAGCCTGTACGTAGACGATATAGAGATGTCACCCCTGCGAGATGCCTCCGCCCCACTATTGTGGAGCTAGCTTTCGGCATCTGACGGCGCGCGGCTTATTTATACATATAAAGATATGTTACACACACACACACACACACACGCACACACACACACACACTAACACTACGTACGGCGAGGGTTGTGTGTATTATGGTAAACACCGTTGAAGAAGAGATCCGCATATGATATATGACTTCGTCTATCGGGCAGACTAGGTCAGCTCCACCCTGTTTTCTTCTTGCAGACTTCCACAAGCCGGAGCTGGCCCACATAACAGGTGCGTGTAGCCAGCAGGAAAGGTGGCTGTGACCCATAATGTGACATGTCACTGTCACAAGAAGCAGGCGCCTCTCCACTGTCGCCTTAGCAGAGCTACGTGGCGAAGCGCTCTCCTTTTATGGGCGCGATTTAATCGTGTTATTAAAGGCCGTATACAATGTGTATATATGAATACATTGTATACGGCCTTAGGTGTTGTTGAACATAATTAACCACGTGACAGAAATCCGCAGCTGTGATCAACCGCACCTTTTCCATATAAAACGTAAAAGTTAACTTAAAACTGCGTAGGTATATCCAAAGATATATCACAACTAGTGACGATATATTTTGTGTACATCTAAAGGTGAATAACTTGTAAAGTAACAGCATATTATCTATTTTTCCACATCTATTGCGTAGTAATCGAGCACAATTCCTCACTGCTAAATGTGGTGGCGCACAGTATAGGTAATTCATTAGTGAACTCATTTGAAGTTATTCTGAACATGTTTATTGAACCTTTTATGGTAAACCCACAGATATCTAAAGCTATTAAGACGCAATAGTTGTCAACTGAATAACTCTACCGCTTAGCGCCGTGCATATGCTTCACTGTGTATACTCTTATTCTTACTGTCTCATTCTTACTGTCTCTGTAGATCTATATCGCCTTCTTTCTCTTTCTTTCACAGCTCTCCAGAGCAACGACCCTCGTCGTTCGTGAATCCCACTTACACGGGCCCGAAAGCGGTTCCCGCGCACCCGCTACACAAGGGCGTCCCTAACAACTACTCTCCACCCCCATACCAGGACACGCCCACGTCCAATCAACCGGGTCCTGTTTACTACGGTGGCCATCCCGCTTACACACCAAACCCCTACGAGGACGGCTTCTCGCTAGCAGTGCAGGCAGGCGGGGGTTACGTACCGACAGCACCGCCGCAGTCGATGGGAGGTGCTTACAGCGGTCACTACGCGCCTCAAGGGCATGCGACCCCATCAGCTTACGACGCCTTCGACTCCATCCCGGATGGGCTCCCCGGTGACACGTACGAGAGCAAGCCGCGCCGCTGGGAGCCGCCCTCATATGCCGTGCCGGTCATTCCGGGACTCCCACCCCCGAACACCAGGGGAATGCAAACTCTCTACTGAGTTTTGTAACGTAAGCGCGAATTTCCCACTACATCGCTTATTCCTTCTGAATCTTTCCTTTATCGGCGCTTTTAACTTCTTGTGTCTATAATTAGAGCGAGTTGCCTGCACGTAAGAAAGGTGCAACTCAGGCGAATAGTCGATTGAATCTGTAGCAAAGACGCTTGGTTTATGTGAAATCCCTGACAATTCTAGGGCTTCAACAACAGCCAATTCAGAATTCATATGGAGCTGGATGGAGGGAGACACCTATTTGTAGCATCCTAGCTGGGTAGCCTCTCGCACAACAGGTGAACAGTTAAACTGACTGTCAACTTTTTATGAGGAGTACATTTGTGATACAAAATTATTACTGTTATACTAAGTAAGCATGAACGGCGTCATTTACATCCTCAAACTCTCAATTTATAGAAATATAATTTAGCTTAGTTGAAAATCCTAACTCAGGTGGATTCAGAATGTGTGGACGCCAAGCTCTCGTTCTAGAAAATACATGATTGCAATCGCTTATTTGCATAAAACAGATATAGTAATGCAAAATAAGGATAATGCTAATATTTATTTACAAAGAGTGAAAAACTCCGTGACTGTATTTTTATTGGGTAAAACTTGCGAGCGCCTTTTAACATGTTAACACTGAGATACTAAAGTTTAAATGCAAAATACCAACATATAAATGGCCTAGTGAAATTTGCATGTTGCGTGAAACGTGCATGTTGTGGATAACATGAGAGAAGCAAGAAGAATAACCATGACTCTGACTGAAAGTATCGTGCACAGCAATGTTGTTTTGTGAAAAAATAACTTGCAAAATTATTTATGTACGACTCCACTTCAACATCTTGCAATATTGAAATGCACTTTCTCAATAGACGGAACAATCCCACTGCCTGCTATTCCAGGAAGATTCATGGTTCCTGGTTCATGCTCAGTGATATGATATGTATTGAGTAGCCTGTGATATTTCACATCTGCAGAGTATAACCACAGACTAACGAATATATTAATGTATTCGTTAGTCTGTGGTTTAACTATGGTTATTTATTTGTCACATTTATAACAATGTATGATTAAAAGCAAAACAGAAAAGTTTGTTAATTAATAGACAAGAAAACAGTTGATATCGTCACATCTATAATTTTCCACAAAATGTTATAGATTTATTTAAACTGTATTTTTAATATAATAAAGCCATATTAAACCAGGACACTTAACTTATGTATTATATTCTACATGTAATAAATTACTATACTCTCATAATAACAGAAATAAACATGCATTAATAACAACGCAATACAAATTAAAACCATAGGAAAATTATGGAAAATTATTTTCATATTTCTCTTTTTGACTTAAACTACATATTTCAAATCAAAGCCTGTCGTTATTGTAAGGAAAGTATCTCTCCTGGTCAGACACACTTTCTAATAGTTATTATTGCTGTTTTTCTAGCAAATTCAAATAAGAAATCCTCATAAAACATGGGGCGGAATGCATATAAAAACAAATCATTGTAGTCTAAACACTGCATGCATTTTGAACAGTTTTCATTCGGAAACTTTGGCTTTTAAAATATTGTATTTTGCCTGGAACCCAGTTAAAACCTAGCATTCTTTGTTCACTTCTTAAGAGAGTGAATAAAAAAAGCTATTTATTTGAGTTGAGAAATCATGCCATTACTCCCCTTGACATCTTTCACCACAAAGACAATTTTGTTATTTACAATAAAGTCATGGAATTGGTAGATCACAGATACAAATGTTGATCACTGACCTTCCACTGTTGGTCACTATGTTGAAATTTAGTATGTTTTCCATATTGAATACAAATACTGTAAGCTATTTATTTTGGAAATAATACAAAAAATAATAATTAAAGGTTAACCCTCTCGGGAGGTTAAAAACCTGATCACATATCAGTGTAATAAATGTTTCATGATCAATACAGAATAGTAATGAAAACAACAAGTCATTGCAGTACAATAGTATTATCACTAGTGGCATTTTCGATCCCAGGACCCGAGGGGGGAAAATCTCATGTCACTCTAATTACCCTTGAATGTCTGTCTAGTTGTTTCAAATTTTCTCACACAGTTCATTACCTACAATGGTGTTGTAAACCATGATGGTGTCATTACATCAGAAGTGTCATAATATAGACTATGAAGATAGACTAGATACAATCGATACTATGACACTCTTCATTAAACCACCTCACTTTTAATCCGTGCTGTCTACATTTGTTGCTAGATGGCGCACAAGTAGCCACACATTGCGTCGATATCCTTCGTCGCCTGTGTAGGTAGTGACCCAGATGCGATCTCGCATGTGGGGTCGTGAGTGCAGGTATCGAAGAAGAACTGTAAGAATAACATGAAGAATAATGAATGACAAATAACCTAATAATGTCGATACTGAAATTACCTAGCAGCTATTCAGTTAGAGAACATTAGAAGATACTATAATCCGACCAATTGTTTATTGTTCAAGTTTCGATGAAAAGCCTTCATAAATTAAAGACTTGCACATAGCAATGTATACAATTTGATACAATCAGCAATTAAAAATAAAGGTAGTATTTATTGCTTGTAAACGTACCTTGATACATTGCAGGAGACACTGGATGGCTAAACCCAAAGTTTTCAACTGGAAACATTGATACCATGTCCTTAAGCAGATTTTCTCCAAACCCAAGACCCCTGCCTTTCTTGCGCACAAATATGATGTCAACGACAGGCATTGTATACCTCTCGTGGAATGAAGATTCATACACCTTTCCTAATCAAGGGAATGGACATACAGTTAATATGTAACAACCAAAATCAATGAACTAAAAATTTAAAATGTCGCAAAATGTTTCCTCATAACCTAGTTCATAACCTGAGTGAATGCTTTTTGTAAACCTTCTGCAATTTTCATGTGTAATAATGATTGGAAAGTCAGCATTCCACAATCACAGTGACTGAGCCTACTTGTCTGATGATAACATATCCACATAAAAATACTTGCTGTGCAAGACAACACAACTTGAAAACTCTCAACTATGACTGAAAGCCTTCAGGAACTTACCTTTGGTTTTGACAGTGTAAAAGCCCACAGCTTCCCCCTCGTCCCACATAAGCTTTGCGAATTCCTCAGCTGGGGTTGGTAGGAACACAGCCACTGTGTCCTCATCTTGCTCTTGCTCCCTGAACACTATGCGATTCAGAGTATGCAGAATGACTCTTTCTGTGAATGTTTGTACCTGCAGTGCAGAATTGGTTCAGAGCATTGTAACTGACACTGGGGAATTGATGTGAGGTCTCAGAATACAGAGGTATGCCTGTGCAAATGGGCAGCAAGTCAATAATCAGGGCAAGTCCCAAAGTACTAAACACTGACTTGTTGTGGCAGTGAGCACCAATATAGGTTCAAACGGAACTAAAATTGTTACAATGTAATTAACAATATGAGATTACCTGTTGAAACCCATTCCTGTCCATTCGGTTTGAATGCAAGATTTCTCTAAGCGACCACCATTGTCCACACACATACACACACACTGCTGCAAGAATTTCAAATAGGGTAAATTAAAAATTAAAAAAAATGTGTATAAACAGATTACGCTAGGTCAATGCGCATACGTTGAATAATTAAACGTTGTCTGAAATATGCCAAAATTAATCATCAAAAATATCCACACATATAGCAGGAATAAGCGAATGACAAACAAGTAGTTGTGTGACAGCTTACTTTTATTACAAGGTTGACATTTCAGGTGAAGAATACTTCCTCCTCTGCCCTCACGAAACACAGACTGATGCTCTACAATGTTGCTCGTAGGAACCAACTATAAAAGACAAAAGAAAGCATCTACCTACACGCTATTCAACCAGTAATTACAATTAGCAAATGAATCTGGTGCTGCTACGAGTGCAAATCAAGTCTTTGATACAATTTAATGAAAGTGTCAATGACACTGTAGTTCACCACAAAAAAGGACACAAATGAGTGAGTAAGAAGAAGTCAGTTTTAATTGAGCAACCATTGACGTAAATTATAGAAACGATTGCCATCTGTATATCGCAATAATAATTTATAAACCAAAATGAATGACAATTTGTGACAAGCTTGACGATGTCAAGGTGAGCTAAAAATCAAGGAGTAACATAACATGTTCCAAGATAAACACTTTACCTGTTCATTACATGAAAAGCATAGTTGTTTGTCCTGATGTTCTTTCCCATTAGCCAGCAACTGTAGCATCGTGATTGCACTGTCAGTGCTTTGGGGCTCACTGACACAGGAATCCATCAAACACCTCTGTACCTCCATTCCTGTTGTCATTGTTCGGGAAACCCTCAGAAAGCTGTGTTCACAATTGAAAGAAACCCTATTCAATGGTTACAATTCAACCTACACCAACTTGTAACAGAAATACAGCATTTAAATAGTTTTCAAGGAGCAGTTTCTTAGTTTCTGTTCAAAACTGCGCTGTTTCACAGGAACCTGAAATAAGTAAAGCATTTTAATAATTGCTGATTCCCTTCTTTTGATTCATATGCTAAGGTGCTACTTGTTGAAGGGCAAAAGAATCATATTTAATTGCACTAATCTGTGCTGATATAACATACCAACAATGAAATTTTCTCAACACTGTAATGTATTAGTATATTTCTAACAGAAATTTGTATTTTTTGCATAAAAGGCTAGGACTACTAGCATCTCACTGGCCATGTCATAGAATGATCACATATGAAGTATTCATGTCTTTCTGTGCAGATACACAAGCAAGACATATGCAATAGATATGAAGACTCCTAGCTCTTGGAAGTTGTACATGCATGCATAGAAGCTTGCCCATGGCAACAGATGCCATATTAGGGGCATTTCAACAGCAACTAAGTAGAATTATTATGCAAGATAGAGTGCATGAAGCACAATTTGTTAGTAAATATGTGTTGTTTTACTTTTGGAATGGCCCAAGTGCTTATGACTGCCACTAAGAATAAGAGTAGAAATATATAGCTCTACCAAATGTACCTCTTTGCTCTGTCACCCATGCATGTGTGGCATGGTAATTAAGGCCTAAAAAAATTAATATAAGAGATACATGAATGTGGAGTATAGATATGGCCAAAGTAATGTAGTACTGATAATAAAAGTACAGTAATACACTGCATGATGACTACTCAGGCTACGTAAATTTGCCTCTATGTATTTTGTGACTTACGACCAACAGAGTCGCAACTCGCAATACAAAATAAAAATTCGCCCATATATATATTGGATAAATGTTATTAGCGTTCTCAGCCACCATCAATAAAAATAATGTAATACAAATGCTTGGATTGATCCAACTTCCAAAAAGTAAGCTGCAGGGCCTAATCCAAGCCATTTTTCATACAGAATACCGGCGCCCAAATTACGACCCCTAGCAAAGCGCCCAAATTACAAAATTCATAAAATGCCCGAATTAGCAGAGCTCTGGTGCACATCTCCATGTTTCTATAGTTGTGTAGGCACTGTTTTATAATAAAATGCTCATATAAGATCTATAAGCTATTATCTGAATAAAATGTGTTGACCAAACGCCCAATTTAATGCGATTGATAAATATATATATAAAAAATTTACGCTCGCTGTGCTCGCCATGGGTGCCTAGACTAAAGTAACTCGCAGCTAGGGTCTGCATACCTCCCAAATCCCATTGGTTGATACAAATCACGTGCCTGAAACTCCTGTTTTAATACAACTTTTATGGTACATTGTAACCCTAACCCTAATTAATATTTAATTAAAAAATTAACTAGATTTGTATCAACCAATGGCCATTTGGGAGGTATGCAGCAGGCCTCGAATTAAGTGACGAGAGGGGCAAGGCAATTTTCTGGGGGCATGTGAGAAATTGCCTTGAATTTTTTCCAAAATGGATGCGCA